AGGAGAAAGAGGACAGAGAGAGGAAAGAGAGAGGGAGAGAGAGAGAAAGCAATTGAAAGAAAGAGAGAAAAGCAAGAGCGAAAGAAAGAAAAGAAAGACGAATGAAATGGGAAAAAAACACGCATAGAAAAAGAGCTTTTCTCTCTCTCTCTCTCTCTCTCTCTCTCTCTCTCTCTCTCTCTCTCTCTCTCTCTTCTCTCTCCTCGCTCCTCTTCTCTCTCTCTCTCTCTCTCTCTCTCTCTCTCTCTTCTCTCCCTCCTCTCCCTCTCTCCGTCTCTCTCTCTCTCTCTCTCTCTCTCTCTCTCTCTCTCTCTCTCTCTCTCTCTCTCTCTCTCTCCCTCCCTCTCTCTCTCTCTCTCTCTCTCTCTCTCTCTCTCTCTCCCTCCTCCCTCGCCTCTCCTCCCTCCTCTCTCTCTCTCTCTCTCTCTCTCTCTCTCTCTCTTCTCCTCTCTCTTCTCTCTCTCTCTCTCTCTCTCTCTCCCTCCCTCCTCCCTCCTCCCTCCCCTCCCTCCCTCCCTCCTTCCTCCCTCCTCCCTCCTTCCCTCCCCTCCCCTCTCTTTCCCTCCCTCCCTCCCTCCCACTCCCACTCCCACCCTCCACCCTCTCCCTCCCCTTGTACCTCACAGTCCTACCCCACTTCCCACTGTTCACCCATGCACCCTATCTCCCTCTCCCTTATAAGGAACGCGACCCCCTCGAAGTCACAGAAAACCCGCGAGTTGAACATCACTCTTAAAAGTTCATCAGTTCCGCGTCCTGATCTTGAACGTCCGTGAACAACCCTTTAACTCCAAGCAAGAGGGAGACAGTAGCCCCCCATCTCCCCCCCCCCCCCCAACACGTAAAACTGTGCAACCTTTAGCACGTGTTCGTACCTTGTGTCTTATGCCTTATACCTGATACCTTCCGGGTGGTACCTGATAATTGTGGCGATTCCGGTCGGATGTTATTGTTAAAAGAAAGAGGAAAAGAAGTGTTGTGTTTAGTTAAAAAAATAATAATAAGGGTTGGTTTTAAGTTCTAAAAAAGAAGAAAAAAGAACAGGTTGTGTTAAGTTAAAAAAGAAAAAAAAAAAAATCAGGGTTGGTGTTAAGTTCAAAAAAAGAAAGAAAGATCAGGGTTGTGTTAAGTAAAAAAAAAAAAAAAAACAGGGTTGTGTTAAAAAAAAAAAACAAGACCAGGGTTGTGTTAAGTAAAAAAAAAAAAAAAAAAAAAAAAAAAAAGAAAAAAGAAAGACCAAAGTTGTGTTAAGTTAAAAAAAAAAAAAGAAAAGGAAAAACACCAAGCTTTGTGCTACCCCCCCCCCCCCGCCCCCAGCCCTCACGCCCAGTCAGAAAGTGCGGCAAAAGTGCAGACGGGCGCCCAGTGTTCAATATATATGGTCCATCTCCGGTTTGGTTCATATGCAAATTATTCCTGGATCGTATGTTAATTCTCATAATGGTGTCGATTCTATCATATACCGGCGGAGGGAAAAAAAAACTACACGGTTGTGAATAATTGTTTTAAAAAATTGCCCGTGTATCCCTCCAGTGAAAGTGACAGGTCGAAAACGTTTTTATATTTCGCTGGAAATGCTCGCAGCCAGCCTCCATTTTTTTCTTCTAATATAATTTAGGGTATTTTAGTCGACATATATGCGCTATTAAGTCTTTTTTTTACGAGATCTATCCGTATGTGATTGCTATGCCGTGTTGGTTCATTAATTTTTCTTCAGTTATCCGAATCCGCGAACGAAGAACAAAACAACAACAACAACAACAACCAAACAGCAATAACAACAACTGCAAAAAACAACAAAAACAACAGCAACAAACAAAACAAACAGCAACAACAGCAACAAAAACAACAACAACAACAACAACAAAAACAAAAACAAAGCAAAAAACAACAACAAAAGAAACAACAAGTCACAATCTTGTATTAATTCCTTGACTTGCTGAAAACCTTGCTTGGAGTGCTTGACTTACCACTTCATCTTATCTTATGTATTTAAGTTTAAAGAGGATTGAGACATGAAGAAGGAGAAGAAGATGCTGGTCATTTTCCTTAGGATTCGAACAGTGGCATGACGTCTCATCCGAACACCTGCGCTAAGATTTATTCGAACATGATACTTAAGTTTTTTTGCAGGAGTTCAAACACTTTCTCTGAATTTCTCAGATTGTTTTTTTTTTCCACTTTTTTGGATTTTTTTTCTTAATTTTTCTTCACTTCTCGGACACGTCTTTATTTGCGTTGCGTTTCTCTTTTTCTTTTCTTTTTTTTTTCTTTCTGTTTACTTTGTCTTTTTCATTCGTTGCTCGACTCCTCCTCTCTCTATCTTTTTTGTGTGTGTATTTTTGCTTCTTCTTCTTCTTTACATCTCTCTCTCTCTCTCTCTCTCTCTCTCTCTCTCTCTCTCTCTCTCTCTCTCTCTCTCTCTCTCTCTCTCTCTCTCTCTCTCTCTCTCTCTCTCTCTCTCTCTCTCTCACACACACACACACACATTTTATTTATT